ACCTGAATTGCTCTCTTCACCTCAAATGATAACACCCCAATGTTTTGTCCATGAAGAATATCTTCTTAGTCCCCTCTGCATATCTAAATAGGGAGACAGAAATTTGGTCATTGTGTAAAATGACTGAGGGGAGGAGAATAATTATCAGGAGACTGAAAACTGAAGCTAGACAAATAACTGGAAACCAGGCTCCAATTTTGTATGACTGCCAAATCTGGGGGTAAAGGAAATATCTTCATCTTGAAAATGTTAGGACATGGAGATTACAGCAAGATTTCTTTCAGAGAGCTGTAATCTATCACACACTAAGACTTTGGGCTAAGCAGAGGAGAAACTTTAAACTAAAGAATCCTCAGGGTGAATTTTAATGTACTCCTATATGCAAGTTAGTCTGAATTATGTACTTCAGCTTTATGGATAAATGTTTCCTCAGAAAACTCTAGGAGCTGATCCCACAAGCCAGACAAAATAAAATGTATCAAGGCCAAACTTGAAAAAAGCAAAGCACTCTCTAAGACCATTTTCTTTCAGCTCTCACAGTTGATTGACGAAAAACAATTCTGATCAATTTTTGTTTATCTGCTCTGTCAAAACTTTATAACCCATAAGATTACATTCAAAAAAACCAAGTATAAAATCCATATCTAGGTTCCCATGAAAGTAAACAAGCAAAACAGAGGAAATAAAGTAATTTTTTTCTGTTGATTATAAAGAAAATCCACTGCAGAAATGTTACAGAAGATAATCAAATTAAAATTAAGGTGAAGTTTTGATCAAGAAAAGCGGGGAAATAACATATGACTTGCAGTGTCTAAGTCTCATTGGAAGGCAACAACAGAAAAAGATTTATGAGAGCCAGCACATAAAAGTCCATATCTCCAGGTATAACAAGGATACTTATCCATCACACAAGGATATTCACACCCTCAATTAAATGGTCTCCTGAAATATCCTGTGCTGTCAATGAATGACACAGCCTTTGGGAAGCAGGAGAGAAATAGTAACAAGATAAAGGTACACTTGATACTGCTTCTGCGAAGAAATAAAATTACTTAGTAACTATGACAGTGCTCTAGACTTGGACTCAGGAGAGACTGTTTCTAGTTTGCTATTTCATCCTAATTTGGTGACCTTACTGCACTTCAGGTTTCTTAATGGGAGATAATAGTGCTTTCCTCATTCTAAAACACATCGTATTCAACTGATACGAGCTCAGTGTTAAGTGGGGAGCTCTTATATGCAATTAAAGGCACAGCCTGCAACCTGATGTAGCCCAGATGTGGGCTACATTTCTAACATTTTTAACAGTGGCCACAAAAATTATACATTAAAATCTTCCCACTATCAGGAATCATGTCTGCTAACGCATCCTTATTTCTACAGCATTTTCATTCCTTTTCCTTTTTTTTTTTTTTTATCAAGCTGACAAATGTTTTTAAAAAAGGTGTCAAGGTAACAGAGTTGAAAAATAAATTAAGGATAAATATGGGATAATCCAAAGTAACTGATGAGCACTGCCTGATTGAAAGCACAGCTAAGTCACATTTCTGAGAGTATTCCTCTATTGGGTATGTTTGACAGATAAAGAATTCTAATACAGAAAAACAAACAAACAAACAAAAACAGATTGGAAAAAGGCTGAGGCTTTGGTAACTATTATTTATCTAGCAAGATTTGTAAAGAAATAGATTGCTCACAGGGAATTCTAGCAGATTTTTAAACTGCCCTGGGGAATAATTTAAAAGTCTTCTTTTTTGAATTTCAGTGTAAACTCTTTGAATATCCACTGAAAACTATTTCATTGACGTTTAGTAGCAGATCTGCTGTTCTAGATGTGACTTGAAATTCAGAGGGTCCAACGTGCAAGTATTTTCTGGTGCACAGACTTATGCTTTAAAATGCTTCAGTTTAGAGCATAAAAAAGATCTTCCTGGCACTATTCCAGCACAGCTGAAATTAATTACAGCACATCGAATGAAAGATGTAACAAAGAAATAACTAAAACCCTTTCAAACTAAGCATGTCTACTGTGTGAGAAGGATTTAATCAGCCATAGCTGAGGTGTATGAATTAGTAGCTCAGGTCCAATGGATAAGCAAACAGGTAGTGTGGGCAAATAAACTGAAAGACTAGAGAAACAGAAAGGTTTTCTAATACGTATAAGAGAACAACATCAGAGATGCAGTTAGGTAATAAAGTCATCCTGACAGATTTCCTGGAGATGTAAAATGAATTGTATAAAGCACTGAGCCACAAGACCTGCAGCAGGAAGTCTTTCCAGATATTGCATTTTTTCGTGGTTGTGTTATTGTCGACATATATGTGTGTGACATAAAGAGAGAGAGAGAGAGAGAGAGATATGAAATTTGACCTAGTTTCAGCCAGGACAGGGTTAATTTTTTACAGTAGCCAGGAAAGGTGAATGGCTACACCCTAATGTTATTCCATACCATCTCACATCACTTCGAGGTGGGGGGGGAGATAAGGGACTCACTCCATCATTTCCTGTGCGGGGAGAAAGCGTAGTGGGTGAAATACTCTGGCATTGGTTTACTTTTTTACATTTAAATTGTTTCTTTGTCTTACATGTTTTGTTATTAATATTATTGCTATTACTGTTGGTTTTCTTATCTCATTGCTGTTTCCAGTAAGTTATGCTTATCTCAACCTCTGATTTTCACCTTTTTGTGCCTACAGCTCTCAACTCCATCCCTGGAATGGGAATGGAGAGGAGAAGTGAGGGGAGTGAGCAAGTAGAGTCTGGTTTGGGAGAGTCTCAGGGGAGGCACTGAACTGGGGAGTATTACTCCTAAACCATGACAAAATTATATATTAAATCTCATGAGGCATTTGAGAACCTGGGTTTCCATGTTATATCCCCTGAATACATATCAGAAAGACTCAAGAGGATTACAATAACCAAATCTGTAGCGGCCTGAAAAACTACAAGACAGTGGAGCACATTATTTTTTTCTAGAAAGTGATAGATATGCATCAGTACAACAAGTTCTGAGTAATATGTAGAAACATTCAGAGTCCTGCTGAATTCTATGTCTAGCAGCTTTTCTAATGTTTTTATTTTTAGTCGTTTATAAAGTAAACAGTCATACAAGATGCAGCATTGCAGTTCAGAAATGCCACAATAGTTCTGTTGAACTACTCAGTTTACATGATCTGGCCTATATAGGCATGCTTGGGATTACCTAAATGTATGTAAACATATATTATATATATATATATATATATATATATATACACACATACAAAATGCTCTTGTGATAATGAGAACTATAAAAATGTATGAGCGTTTATGCATACAAAGATTTTTGTATCCCTGATCTTATCAGCAGACTGTTCATTTTCTCCCAGTTCTGAACTTCTTCCTAGTTAGTGCTGATCCTGAAACAGCTTCTGGGGAGGACTGCCTTCATGTTTTATGTGGTTCTGTCACTGGCTTTTAGCTTGTCTTTCACTTTTTTCCTTTCTTCAGGAGCCACACAAACCTTTACAAAATGAGAATTATATCTTTGCCTACATTTTGGGTACTTTAGGTTTCACCCACAGTTGGCTTGATGTTCCAGTTGGTATGCCTTTATAACTATACTGTCCCCATTCCATTAAGCATGTAAGTACTATCTCAGCTCATATCTCACACCTGAGGTTTCAACCGTTACAAAATTTGTTAATACAGTTTAATATGTAGTAAAAAACACAATGGACAGAGAATACAATTTGTGGTATTTTAGAATTTTTTTCTACCAGAAATTGTTTTAAATTGATACCAGTAGCTGCTGGTATAGTGCCTTTGCTCTTCAAATATAAGGAACTCATTGAAACTGAGAGCCAAAACCAAGTCATTCCACACTTGTATTTTTAGTCCTGAAGTTCACTGTATTCGCCAAATCTGGATTTTCCAGCAGCAATGCAAGTGGAAAGAGTTTCTCCATATTGAAGTATCCATAGAAACTGCAGGGTTTATGTATTATATAGGACATTTTGCCCAGCCTCTTCCATTACTCAAGAATGAAGGAACGGCCAATCCTCTAAATATATAGACTCAGTTACAATAAATTTTCCCAAAACAAATTGACATAAAAGACCAATCTTGAGCTTTATAAAACTGTGTGATATATTGATTTACTGTCCCCACATGATGATGCACATAGATACAGTATTCATACTACTTACCAAATTAATATCTCTGCTCTAAGAATATAAAGCAGCTTACCATCTGTACAAGTGTTTTAATTGATGTTCAGTACATAAAGAGGCACTATAGTAATACTAGTGTTATTCATGACTAGAAATGTTTATATCTTTATCTCAGATTTAAGGTAACAGTCCATGTGATACAAATTTTTTTTTTCAAGTCCAAATGTGCACTTTGGCACCAAGTTTTGATTCAACCTAAATGAGAGCTCAAGTCCATTTTGCATGGAGTCTTCCATCAGCAGCTAGGGACAGGGACAAAATGCACTGTAGCTAGAGTCTTGGGAAGCATCAACATGTCTCTGACTAACAGAAGCTTTCTCAAGTCCATCTCCTCATGTAACATACTCCCACACATGACAGCACACTCTTTATGCTGCAGCTTACAATCAGGCTCATGTTGCAGCTGCACCAAAAGATATTGTGTAATGAATACTCCTTGGTAACACTGGTTTTGATGGAACTTTCCATAGTGAATCTTAAAGAATCTCACCAGGTCAACTGATGCAAAATAAATAACATTTACAAGAATGACAAGAATCAGTCTCTGTCAAATTCACATGGGAAAAAATTAATAAGTAAAAAGCTAAATTAATAAGTACTAGAAACTCGTTTCTCAAGGGAGCCAGTACTTGTTTTCCTGATGCCACAGGGAAATGTGCTCATTTCAGTAATTCAAAATTGATCTAATTCCTTTTCTTTTTTTCCAGCCTGGCTAGGTGCTATTTTTTCCCTCCTTTTTTTTAAATTGTGAGTTGGTGATCTGAAATAAACAAAATTTTTTCTACCAGGGGAATATCTTGATAATTCCCACGAATGTCAATTGTGTGAAGCATCCTGTCAGAAGTGCACTGGACCTGAGTCAGACAACTGCATCAGCTGCCCACTTACAAGGTAATTGTCTCCTAGCACACAGCTGTACAAAGATCTCACATCATCATCAGGGGAAGCAGCTGTATTGTATTTAGCACTGGCTTGCAGAATCAACTAAAGAAGCAGGTAACAATTAGGGCAAAAAAATTATGGGCAAGTGAGAAAACAATTTTTATATGAACATGACAGTTGGCTACACAAGCAGTTAATGTTTAGCAGCATGATTCCCACAGATAAAGAAAAATTCTTTTTAATATGTAAAATAACTTGTCTTTCATCGTCATCCTTTTGAAATCATAATTGCTGGAAGCACAGCAGTGAAAAAATAAATAAGAGTCTAGGGCATTTGCACTGCTATGGAGCTTGGCACAAGGCATGAGTATGGATGCTGAGGCTAGCAATAGGTCAGTTTGGGAGATATTCATAGCACCTAAACATCATCCTGAGGTGTTCCACATGAATTAGGCTGATACTTCTAAACTGCCATGGGGAGTGAACAGAACTAGAAAGAAGAATCTCCACAGAACACTGCAGATCAGAGGTTTGTGCTGAGGTCATCTCACACCTAATCCAGGAGACCTCTGTTTTTAAACTCTTGTCTTAATCTATTATTATTCTCATACCAGTAACTGGCTCTGTTGCACTGGATTGCATCGTAGCCAGCTGATATTTGTGCTGGTATGAAATCAGGATCAAACAAGAAAAAACCTGACCAAGCAATACTGTGATTTGCCCTGAAATTATCTATGATATGACTATGCCAATGAAAGGCACACCAGGACCAACAGAGTCCAAACAAATTCATAATTGAGGAAACATTAATTAATTAATTAATATATAAGGTTTCATACATCAGAAATTACAGCAGAGGAGATCTAGGCAGACTTTTAGAGGGTGGAGTGGATTTCTCCCATTCACAGTGGCATTCAAATTAGATTGTCTGTGCTTCCTTGCAACCTATATTGTGTACTTTACACAGAGTTATTTGCAAAGCAAAGAAGGAACTGAACATCATTGTGGTAAAACACTCAGGTCTCTGCAGTAATGACATCTTTGTGATCTTTTGGAAGGGTGCTGCTGTAGCCCTTGTAATAAGTTCTCTAACAATTTTAAATTTTGGTATCTAAGGTTTCAGAGAACTTCCTGTGATCATTCTGCACATTATGAAAGCTGTTAAAAAAAAAAAAAAAAAAGACAAAACATATTAAATGGGAAAGCCTGTAGTAAAAAAAATAATATGAAAGAAAAAATCTTGCCCAGAGGCTAAAGAGTTCCTTAGGAAAATTCAGGATAGATGTCATCCTCTTTTGTAATAAAATCAGTTACATAATTTCACAAATTAAATTGCTGTTACTGGTTAAAAAAAAAAAAAAAAAAAAAAAAAAAAAAAAAAAAAAAAAAAAAAAAAAAAAAAAAAAAAAAAAAAAAAAAAAAAAAAAAAAAAAAAAAAAAAAAAAAAAAAAAAAAAAAAAAGGAAGAAAAAGCCTAAACTTTTCAAATCATGGCAAAATTTAAATGGTTTCAAGACATTTGACAAAACTGGTTTTAAACTCTGCAGATATTTTTCTCCTTTCAGAATAAATCTCACAATGGTCATAGCAACTCAAATTTATGAAAGCATATTCCAGGCATTCTTTAATGCCATTGTCTGGCTCCAAAAAAACATGCATTGTCTTAATATTACAGAAAGCTTACTTTTGCTTAAGTGTACAGAAAAGCTCAAAGCCTGTACTAACATCCAGAATGGTGCTCAGCTTCTCTAGAAACTGAGTACCAAGTCCTCAGATACCAAAGCGGTCCAAACAGTTAAATGTGGAGGATTGCAGCCTTTCTTCTTATTTTCTTAGTTGCACAAACACTGTCAAAATTTAGCCAACTTTATTCTATATTCTTTTAATACTCAAATATGAACTGATGCTTTTCTATTTTCCTCCAAACATATTAAAACAGTAGACATTAAGTAGCAGTGAAAAATGGACCATAAATGTCTTCACATAAAAGAATTCTGCAGCAAATGTTTAATTATCCAGTGAAAGGAGAGCATTCAGCAGCATAACTCCTAAGTGTTTGTAGATATGTGTCCTGGTTCTGGACAGGACAGAGTTAATTTTTGCAGTAGCCAGGAGAGGCATGGCTAGGACCTGGGCGTTCTTCTATACTACCTCACATTATTTCTGGGGGCAGGGGGAAAAGGGTCCCTTTCCGGGTCCCATAGCACGGCACAGTCAGGTATCGTTTGGAGTTTCACAAATGGTACGGTGAGGAGGACTCGCCTGTGCGTCTTTTGCCTGCTGTACACTTTGTTATTAATACTGTTGCTGTTCCTCTTTGTTTTCTTATTTCATTGTTGTTTCCAGTAAATCGTTTTTATCTTAATCCACGATCTTTGCCTTTTGTGCCTCCAGTTCTCCTCTCTAGCTGGCTGCAGGGGATGGAGTTAGGGGAGTGTGCAAGCAGCACATGGTTTGGAGTGTTTTGGTGAGAGCATGAAATGGGGGGAATACCATTGCTAAACCACAACAACCTTATTTGGCACCCAATGTGAAGCACAAAGGGTTGAGACAGAAAGAGATCTGCCCAGAGTGGGTTGGATACAAATTTGATCTAAGAATTTCTTGTATTAGGTCCATAGGCACTGTTCACAATGTTGCTTGGTCGGCTCACACGTATGTGGTACCTAATCATATCTGTGTTTCCATATATGCACTATATGCTCCTCTAAGTGTTCTTTTTCAGAGCACAGAGAATGATCAGGATTACTTTGTTGCTGTACTGTGTGATATCAGCTTATGACACGATAACATCAACGGCAATGAGGGTCATTTAGTATGTATGTTCAGTGTTGCTCTCGTACCCTTATCTCGGGCACTACGTTTGGGAGGCCATCAATAATCAGACTCAGTTGGTGGGAAGAACTGGAGTAAATGATTTTCCCCAGCTTTTCCTTTTTGAATTTCCTGTGGGTGTTAAGGAAAGTATGTTTTTGTTGCTGTGTCTCCTACGTCTCTTCAGTACGGCCTATATCATGTTTAGAGTCAATACGGTAAACACCATGTTTAGAGTCAGGACAGAGATCTCAAAGAAGGTCATTCAGAGATTGGCCCTGAGAATGGGTAGTCATGAGTGGCATGGAATGTGGGAGAATATAGGCCAGTTTTGGGGGAAATTCTCTGCTCCGATCATTTGGAAGTTAATCCATGAACACCTATAGGACCCTAATAGTGACAGAATATTTGCAAGGAGAATGCTGTGGCAACACCACAGAGGAGCAACTTATTGAAGTGTGCTGGGCCCTGGCTACTGTTTATTTGACACTACTTGTCACTAGACCACACTCAGCCGGAGAAGGAGGAAAGCAGACCAACATGCACTGTGGCCAAATCAGTTTGCTTAGTGAAGTATGAAGAGGTAGCAAGACCCTCAGAATAAGCCAAAGGGACAGGGCCAGAGATAACCACCTTATCCCTATCCCTGACTGTCCTAGTTCTGATTTTAGAAAGGAATTTTTCTTTCCCTTTCCCCTTTTTTCCCCCTCCCCCCCCTGCATGAATGCTATTCAAGAACCATCAAGTGAACAAAGGAGTCGGCCTGGCTCTTAACGACCGAAGTTAGTCTCCTGGCAACGACGGGGGAGGAGTTGGGAAGAAGGCGGAGTTGGTGGGAGCTCAGCTCGGC